TCTTGATAAGGCCGGAATAAAGAGATTGGTAGTTCCATCTAGTGAACAGTTGCGTAGTTTATTTTTAGGAGAATGCCATGACGCAACGGGTCACTTTGGCTACAAGAAAACGAGTGTTAATCTAGTACAACGATTTTGGTGGCCTGGTATGTTTGATGACGCAAAGAAGTACGTAGAGACATGTCAGGTCTGTCAGCGGGACAAGCCGCGAACTCAAGCACCGCTTGGGTTGCTTAAGCCCTTACCTATTGCCGCTGGTCGAGGACAGAGTGTTTCTATGGATTTCATGGACACCCTGGTAACCAGCAAGAGTGGTAAAAGGCACATCTTCGTCAGCATAGACCGATTCACCAAGTACGCTAGACTAGTTGCCATGCCAGAACGTGCGAGGACTGACCATGTCATCAAGTTGTTTAAGGACAACTGGGTGCGGGACTTTGGTTTACCAAAGACTATCGTTACTGATAGAGACGTCCGATTCACAACTGAGCTATGGAAGAAGACTGCGGAACAAATGGGCAGTCAACTTCAGATGACTTCAGGGAATCATCCCGAAGCCAACGGACAAGCCGAACAGATGAATAGAGTTGTACAACACTTGCTGAGGCATTACATCAAGCCCAACCAAGATGATTGGGATGAGAAGTTGCCACTCATCGCCAGTCTGTACAACAATGTTGTGCACAGCAGCACCGGCGTGAGTCCTAACCAGCTACACTTGGGATGGAAGCCTAGATCCGCGTTAGACTTCCTCCTACCTGAAAACCGACCTGCTGCAACCCCAGGCACATTGGAGTACGGTGTGCATTATGAGAAGTTGCTGCAAGAAGCTGTCGAGCACATGAAGAAAGCTCAGCAAACAATGATTGCTTCTGAGAATCAACATCGTAGACAGTCAAAGCATCAGCCAAGGCAAGAACAGCTGGATCTGCAGCAGATGAGGTAGCAGTCCCAAATGGAGGGGTCCCACCTTGGGATGCTGCATCATCATCAGAACTCGAGGCTGTAGCAAATAGGGCACCCTTCCTCCTTCTCCCCCCCTTTGAGGAGGGTCCCTTCCTTCCTTCTTAAGGTGCTTTCTGAGCATGGAGTTTGGACTCCAAGTCCAGGGCTGCTCCGCCAAAGGACCGCCAGTCCTTGTGGCCCTGAGAGAATAGAGCAAGCTGGTATTGCTCAGGGGCTGCTCTCAAGAAATGAATGAGCAGATCCTGCTCACTCATCTCCAACCCAGGAGTCGATGTTAGACTCTCAAAGGTGGAATTAGTTTAGACAAGGAGCCATCAAATTTCTTTTGGCCTAGGCGCATAATTTTATCTACTGCTTTCCTGGTCTGCTCCTTGTCTGCAAACCTATCCTGCAGAGCCTGCAGAGAACCAGCCACCCCCAGCCTCTGCGCCCAATTAGCCATCTCCATCCCCTACTTGCTGGAGGTAGAGGTGCACCATTTCAGTGCAGTCCTCTCTAGACGAGCGAGGATGACACTCACCTTTACATCCTCATCACATTTGAACCCACTCAGGTAGGTTCGTTGTGCAGTGACCCAATCTGTCACATCCACCTTTGTGTCCTCGCCAGAGAACATAGGTGGGGAGTCAGCTTGGGTCGCTGCATGTCACATGGTGCTAAGGGCTGTGAAGGTGTTCTTGACTTGGGTGTAGAGGGAGGGGATGTGTGTCTGGATTGTGGGGGTTGTTGAGGTCCTGCTTGAGAGGGCCCAGGAGATGGAGGGACTGTCTGGGTAGGTGGGATCTGAAGATTGACAAAGAGACGATCAAGTTTGGAAGAGATGTCTTTCAACTCCTTTGTATGCTCTGCCATACTCTCCTCCAGACTGGTGATCCTAGCATCCCAGTTAGTAAAATAGGACTGGTGAATTTCATCATGCAAGAGGACGAATTCAACAATGTCCTTATTGTACTAGCTGGAGCTGCCACTCACCTTGACCTTTTCCACATCTGCTGCCAGTTCCCGCCTCCTAGTCTCCTTCCCAGCGGCTTCCTCTTTCCTTTTGAACTCTGCCTTTAGAGCCTCAACTCCCTGTGCCTGTTGGCGGAGTTTCTCCTCCTCGGCACGCGGTTCAGCCTCTAAAGGGCCAAGAGGAACCCGAGGCTTTTCCTCAGAAGCTTCAACCTTCTCTGAACCCGACATTTTTCAGATTCCCACAATACAGATAAATACAATAAAATAGACAGAGAATCAGAAGACAGAAAAGGAAGTAACATGAATTGAGTTTTCTCTGCAGTACTCACTCAATTGCTGTCACCTGACTGAAAGGAGAAGCTGGTTAGTCCGAGCAAGTGAGTGCTCAGTCTCTGCAGACCGCTTGAGGGTCAGGGTGAGATTAGAGTGTACTCATCAAAAATCAATTTCACAATTTTCCCTTCGCTGCCGTGACACCACAATTGCATGCATTGTATGACCCTGTATGCAATACGCTGGGTATGGTGAATTACAATTATTGCTATAACTGACTCAGAACATCAAATCTGACTGTGCTATTTCAGACACAGACTGTACACTTAATTGCGATTTACCAGGGACTGACAAAATTGAATTCTGACATACAGAATCGAAGTTATGACTGACCGTAGTCTAGCCAAGCTTCAGTTATGGCAGCGCAGAATTCAAATTTCCATTGTAACTGACAACGGGGCCCTGAACCAACCAATTCACTATACAATATGAATCACAACATTGTAAAGCAGTCCCGGATGAAAGTTGAGTCAGAGAGGAGGTCAAAAGGGTTAGTAGAAGTCAAAGAAGGTAGGTAGGGGAAATTGGCTATGGTTGTCATGCAGTCTCAATTTCGATTTTCAACTRTYWACTGACYGACATACCAAATTCCGCTAAATTGAAAATAGCCCTAGAATCGCCACACAKAGTAGAGTAAGGAACACACTTACTTYAGGGATATCTCTGAAGAAGATGAGTGTAACCTTGGCTATGGTTGTCTGCTCAACCCCATCTCGCCAGTTTCATCTCTTGATGATTCCCGGTGTTCCCAYGTACCAAACTTCCTGAAACTTGGTGATCCAGTAGATTTCYCYGAGGCGCTTCACCCACAACTGACAGATTCACTGMATCTGGASTCCCAGATGCTGATAACTGAGAAACTCAGTGCAGCGCCACTTTACCCTGTACTGCGCTGCTTGGAAATCGGGGATCCTGACCTAATTCCAAATTCGCAACACCCTAGGATCACTTCCTTGCTAATCGCCAGTTTCCAGATGAGTCGCCAGGCTAAAAATAGCCTCCTCAGAGCCTCCCAGGCCTCTGAGGATCAATCGCCACCCGCTCCTGCACAACCCTAAGCAGGAGTGTGTCAACCTCTGTCCAATTCTTCTCACCACACACTCACCACCACCACCGTCACTGTTGCCAACCCTGAAGATGACAAATTGGCTTCAAACTCAACTCCAGTGTCTCGCCAGATAGTGATAGTTGCTCCAACTCATCAATCGCTTCACTGTCTGGATCCAATCACTCTGATACCAACTGTTATGAACCTGGTTGCTTGTTGTCAGATGACCAACACTCACTCACATAGACTTCCAAGTAGGCCCATACATACACAGAAGGAAGGGGAGAGAATGCGAGTATCACACCGCACAGGGAGAGATAAACACAGTGGAAGACCTGACCATGCGATATGGCAGAGAACACTGGAAGTGCACCTCGTTCCACAGAATCCTCACACCAGTCACAAAGGAAAGCTGAGTAGATCACATCCAAGAAACAATGAAGCAATGATAGTTCACACCCAGTATCAACACTGTTTATTAAACTCAGTCTCAAGTTGTCAGAATAACCCCAGAACTATGGTGCGCTGCTCAGAATTGAGCAGCACTTCACTCCCTACACCCCGAGTAACCGCTATTCCACCCGTGAGCACCTGAAACAACCAGCGCCACCTAGATACTGCTTCTAGAGGGAAGCGCCACCCGGAAACAGGCCTCTGAGGCCAAGTGCTTCTCAGAGGATGAAGAAGAAGACCAGCGCCACAGTGTCTGATGATGATGAAGTGCTGAATGGCTTCCCGGGTGGAAGTCTGCAGCAGCGCCACCTCTCCCGACAAGATGATCTCTGAGGAAGAAGCTGCAGCTATGGCTGCAGCGCCACACACCCTGTAACCCTACTCTGGAGGAGGGTTCAGCAGGGCACCGACTCTCTCGCCTCCAGCAGACTTCAGATAGCCTGGACCTCTGAGCAGCCCCACGTGCTGTCAGAGTACAGTGCCCGTCCCAGCTATGGCCGACACTCCGAAGGTCCAGCTATGTCTGTCTTCTCCAACACTGAAGCTGTCACCACTTCCAGTTTCTGCGTCGCACAGCAGCGATGTACACGATAACAACTGCCAAAAGCCCTGAACCGATTCCTACATCCTATCTATCCTGTACCCTAGCCTAGACATGACCTGGACCGGACTGGTAGGACTGACCGGTACCGTTTTAGTTTCGGCCTCTAGGGCCTCTCCCTACCCGGCTATAGGCTATAGGACCGTCTATCAGCTTAGGCCCATAAGGCCTCTGTCCTAGGGGTTGCCTGGGCCTGCTATTCGCAGATTCGGTAGCTGTAGGAAATTCTAGTTAGTACGGGTCTATATTTTCCCGAATTTGCAGATATGTCCCTCTCGAATTTTCCTTATAGGCAGTTCTCTCGGTTAGCCCTCAGCCAAACAAAATATGAATCTGACCTACCTATAGTACAGCCTCGACTCAACGGGCTACAGACCACCAGAACCAGCAAGTCATTGCAACATCCACAAAAAACAAAAAATATGGCAGTGTATCTTCCCATTGTTCTAGCGGGGATTCATTCTCAATTTGCAAAGTTGGTGGGTAGTGGAGCGAGGCCCAACTGGACTGACTTTTTCTTCTTTTTTTAGCCAGGACTGTAAGGGCCTGTCTTTTTCTTCTTTTTATCCTTTTTTTCATATAGTAGTCTGGTCGGACGCCCCATCAGGCCACGGACAGCCATCCAACAACCTGTCTATCAGGGTGTCCAGGACGAGAAGTTCTGGGAAGTCCATTTTTGGGGAAAAGGTCGAGCAAAACTTGAAAAGGTGATAACAAGTATGTTGTGCAAGACGAAAATTGTAATACAAACAGATTTCAGCATAGCCCATTTAATGTTTAAAGAATTTAAAAAGGTAGCTCAATGGGCCACTTCCGACCGGATTTCTGGACAGATCCTGAGTCCCACAACCCTGTTGGAATCCTGGCCGAATAGGTGAACTCCCTAGCCGTTGACTGCATGTGGGCCTATGGACTAATGTATTTGGATCAATACCTCTGGGCCTCAGCCCTCCTCCGTGCAAGCACGGACTCGAACCGGCGACGTCGGCCTCAAGAGCCAAGTATCGTAACCACTACAGCCAGGACATGGTGTTCAAAAGCGGAACCATACCGGTCTCCGTGATATCCACCCCACCCCTGCAAGGCTGTAGTGTCCACACTCAACGCACACCACACACAACACCACACGGACGCTGGCAATCACTGCACACTTCGCTCTAATTAGCAAAGCCTCAGAGATGCTAAAGCCAACAAAGAGTGGAATGTTATGAACTCTTGACAAAAACATTGATCTCACATCTTGTGTCTTCTAAGACGATGTGTGTGTGTGTGTGTGTGTGCGTGCGTGCCTCTGTGTGGTCTGGCGATTGGCCGATACCCCAACTCGATTGTTCGTCGTGATCACTGGACGGGATGGATTAATTACAGCTGGTCAATACTGGAAGCGAGGATGCACAAGTGACCCTTTTATTTACGTTTGCGGTGTGTAAATGACTTGAACCCTTCCCATTCCTCCTGTTGGTCCGTATTGACCGTGTCTCGATCTCACATCTCGTGTCTTCTAAGATGAAGTGGATGGCATCTCCTGTTTGCTCAAGGTCGGGGCTTTTGAGGTTGAGGGCTTAGGTTTTCGACTTTTCATGTTTAAGGGTTTTAGGGCTGAAGCTTTAAGGGTTTTAGCCTTTAGGGTTTGGGGTGGACAATTTAAGGGATATATAGGGCTAAGGGTTTTAGGGGCTGAGGAACTACCGTGGTGTGACTGCTGCTGAATCTTTTGCTGGCTTGCTCTGAAGAGTCTGAACATTCTGTTGAAAGTGTGTTCAACGTGGATTACACTTGAGCGATACAATTGGGATCTCACCGGGGTAGGATTCAAAAAAAAAAAAAAAAAAAAAAGATTGTGCTGAGGCTGTATTTTTTGCCCATTTTATCTTTTCGTAAAAATGCCCATGTTGATGTTCGGGATTGTGATAACACCTCTTTGTTTCTTTGTGACATGGGAAGAGGTGGGGGTGGGAGTGGAGGGAGGCTCGGCAGCCTTATCCATGAATATAACAAGGCTCGAAGAGCAGACGCTTCGCGTCTGAATCCGATACATGGGAACTGCGGGCGGAGGATGCGTTGTTGTTTTTTTCGTTTACTTTTTCTCACTCTTCTTGCTCCAACCAGTGCTTTTAAGCGGGACATCGAAAGATGTCATGCTGACAATCCCTCCAATACTTTTTGGTTTTTGGACGTCCTTTTGTGCAATATTTGGCCGATATGATGATTGGTTTAGAACTTTAGGTACTCAATTTTTGCGCAAATTCTATTTTCATTTGGTCCGGTTAGAATAAAGGAGCGTCGGGCACCAGATGAAAGGAGAAGGAATGGGAAGTTAAAGTGGAAAATGAGAGAAGGAAGTAGGGAGAGAGAAAATACCTCAAGAAAAGAAATAGAAAAGGGATGAAAAGAGTGGACGAAAATGGAAAAGCAAATTACGAAGGGCAGGAGCTGCRTTCCCTTTGTTGAAGCCTGGGGACTACCTTCCAGGCTGGTAARCCTCCCTAAACCCTAAACCCTAAAAACCTAGCCCCTGAACTTCTAAACCCTAAACCCTAAACCCTAATACCCAAAACCCTAAACCCTAACACTACAGAGTCATTAGAGACCCTAAACCCTGAACCCTAAACCTCTAGAAAACCCTATCCGTAAACCCTAATCAGTAAACCATAGGCTCCTAGGAATTGAGTATGGTTATGGCAAGTCAGGACAGCTGCCCTCGTAACCAAACCACATCAACAAAATGCCAATACCGAGCAGCAGCTTCAAACCCGAAATGGTGTCTTCGAGTAAAATGACCCATGCACTGACGAACACACGATGGCATGAAGTAAAATGACCCATGTACTGACGAACACATATGATGGCATGCAGTAAAATGACCAATGTACTGATGAACACATACGATGACATGAAGTAAAATGACCCATGTACTGACAAACACATACGATGACATGGAACTTGATGAAATCCATGGAATCCAGTAGGTGTCTTTCACCCAGGGGGTAAATAGGACGGGGGAAGCCGCCCTCGAAGGGCCACGGGGGTGTCTTTCACCCAGGGGGTAAATAGGACGGGGGAGAGCCCCGAGAAGGGCCACGGCACCGTGCATTCGGGTTAGGGGGTCTAGAAGTTCAGACATCTTTGGGCTGAGGGGTCAGAGACTCAGAGGGCAGTGTCCATATGGAAGCAAAGCTGGGTAAAAAGCTCCCGCTAACCCTGTTCTAATCTAGGCTACCAGAGTGGCCCGGGGCCACTTGCCCGGCCGGGCCCAAAAAAAA